ATAATAATACTAAATAAATTACTTCAAGCCATACTATTACACATTTTTTCTTTTAAAAGTGTTCATACTATTTGAAATATTTTGCAACTGTAATTCTCTTCTACATTTAAAGATTGTTATGTCCCTCCATATTAAGAATGGGTCTCGAAAACAAAATTCTGTGCTAAAAATAGACCACGTGCTGCTATGCATGAACTACTTTCGTGGTTCTTTAAACTCTTTTTGAAGACAACGATACCTTGTTTTGAACTTGAAATTATCATTTAAAAGTGCAAAATTTAGACATTTTCTCAACAAATGGTTGTAGAGAGAACATTGATGCACATTTTGCATATTTTTTTGGATTTTTTAAGGCTCTGCCGAATTCTGTAGCTGCGCAGTTCTAAGGAGCATATCAAAAGCATTTTTCTGCAAAAGTATAGATTATATATGCACAACATGCATTCAGTTATGCATATTTATTGTATCTTTATCATAAGGACTTAAAATTTCATCAAAATATGATGTATTTTAGCCATTTGAAGAAATGTTTACATTTTGTTCTCACAGCACTAAAGGTGGCCGTACATCCCCCTTAAACATATGAAAATAGTAAATTCAATAAACTTCAAGTAACATTTCTTAGTTGTTTCCATTATAAGAAAATTGCAACAGTAATTTTTCTTCATATTTTTTTGTATATTTTGCTGACTTTTTTTTATAATATATACTGAAAGGAAAAAGAAACGCAGGGTAGCATAATAATCGATAAAAATTTGATCATATGACCGAAAATTGCGAAAATTGGTCAGATGGGAAATTTAGTTACTGTGCATCCAAATCAGTATTCAAAATTACTCAACCGTAAAATTTATGACGTCACGTAGGGAAAACGCTAAAAAGCCCAAAACACGTGCAATTTGATAACGACGTGTTTGTCCACAAATCTTGTTGCATTATTTGATGCATATGAGGTATGCACATCGTATTTCAATATTAAGAGACATTATGAATTTATTGCAATCTTGGAACAGTTTACAGAAGTTCAATGGGGTCTTGTTTTCGAATTGCCTAATTAATGAAAAAAGCAACAACGGTTAACTAAGCAGTCACTTGTAATTTTTCCCCCATAAAACTTTTTAGCCGTTGTCAGAGAGGGTCTGGAGTGGATTTCAATCAACCGTGACGATGACGTTAACGCGAAACAGAGCCATGTTACGAGCGGGTTATTCGTCCTGCCATCTCTTAAAGTGTCACCTTACTACCACAAAAAGAGCCATTTATAGTGTACGCAATTAAAATTATTACATTTATACGAAATTTGAAAGAAAACAATTTCGCAATTTGTTTTTTTGAGCCAGTTAATTTACAGTTGTATTCCTCTCACTGGCGCATGCGCTCGAAGCTTGACTTATTTTTTTGCGTGGTTACCCATGCTAAATATAGCCAGGGTTTGAAAGATAAACACTCTGATGAAATTCCATGCAAAGGAGATATAAAACTCTAACAGATGCACGAGATGGACATTGAAGATAAAGAGAGTTTTCGATTTTCCCTTTTGGGGGTATCGTCATTTGAGTTTCAATTAACTCATGAATAATTACACAAAATCCTATGAGAATTTGTTAATATCTTTTTGAAAGATGATTTTAAAAGTTAGATAGGAAAACTAAAAAGTATTTTTAAGAAAAACAAATTAAATTCACCTCAAAAAATTACCCTGCGTTTCTTTTTCCTTTCAGTATACATGTATTGGTGTAAAATCTTCTGTACCTCTGTCTTTCTCTTCCTCGGAGCTGGACGGCAGATAAACCCGGAAACCACCTCATTGACATCATCCGTCTTCTTCCTTTGTGACAAGTTATTCATGGTCACTTTGATTCGGTCCTGGTCTGTTTCATCCCAGGTTAAATTCACCTATATTATATTACAAATTTATCACACTGATTAAAGAAATCTAGGCATATGAACTAAGATGATTTCATACCGATACTGTTTTAAATATTAATCTGATACATTGAAGTCTGACCTTTGACGTGTCACATTAAAGTGTGACCTTTTACCTGACACATTATATTAGGATCTGACCTTTGACTGGGCCAGGGCAGTTGAGACAAACAATGAGGGATTGTAGGCAGCAGACATCTCTGTACACACGGACTTAGATTCCTCTGTAAACTCCATGTCGTCTGGTATAAACCTGTCAAATGTATATACATCATATAATATGCATGAAGTCGTGGAGAAACATTTTAAAATCATTTCCCTGAAGATGCATTTTGTGAAAGAGGACTTAGGCTTATTTTTGTAATCCTTGTATAAATCCTTGGATTCATCTGATAGGATACGATTTTATGTTCTCAGTATAATGTATGCCGATCCCAGTCTTTGCGAATCATTTTACTTTTTTTAACTATTTAAAAAAAAACAATTTATATCGTATAATTTGTTTAAATTGTATATTTATGTAAGTTGAAATGCCTTTCGGGACCCCTGATTGGTAATAAAATATCTGTTATTTTGTGCACGTACTTTTGATTGATTAATAAAATATCCTCAGATTTTGTTCACGTATTTTTGATTGGTAAAAATATGCATTTTGTACATGTATTTCATTGATTGGTAAAAAAAAAAAACTTGTAATAAACATATGGAGATAACGAACAGTATTCAATCTCAGAACTCCATAAAACAATACAGAATAGGAGCAGAGCAAATACGGGCCTCCGAAACATCAGAGGTGGGATTACGTGCCACGGAGGAGTGAGCATACACTGCTGACCGGTCACGTGTGTTCCGTGTGATGATCAGGAAATAACGGAAAAGTCTGTAGTCAATTCAGTGTACATAAATAATTTGCAAACAAATAGTATGAAAAACGTCAGTCAGCATTTGACTCAATGATAAAGTTTAATTGCTGACAAGGTCATTGTTTCGACCATAGAACTTAAGAAAGGATGACTTTAAACAAGACTGCTGTTATTCTTGTTTCATCAACTTTTTTGTCAATAATTTACTTCTTAGAAATTGTTCATACTAAGAGCATGTTTTTGTGTTTTGAATCAACTGAGATATATAAACTATTGGAATTCTCATGGGTACCAATTTCGCTCCGTTATTGGCAGACCATTTTTGTATTCATATATGAAGCAGAGTTTGTGCAAAATTGTATACATGAAAAGAAGAAAACACTTGCTGTGGTCTTCAACTCGACATTTAGATATTTAGGCGACGTATGTCAATTAACAACAACAGAGATTATAATTATCTCGCCAAAATGAGATGTCGCTAAAATTCCGTAATCTACAGTAATTAAATATCTAAAATATAACTTGAATCAAACATTTTATTTAAAAAAATCGCACTCATTGATAAAACATGTAGTGTCTATGGGCAGACTTCTTTGGAATGCAACGTAGAGGTTGTATTTAAAAGAATACGTTTTTTTTCTGTTCTGAAATATACTTTTTAATTCACTGTAAACTGGTGTATTAACTTTACTTCAGGGTAACATTTACAAGCGATGGACCCCCGTACCAGTGCCCAGGATGTGATGCGATGTGACCTGTGTGAGACCGCTGTGGTACAGATGCACTGTGATACATGTCTTGTCAACCTGTGTAAGGTCTGTATAGGAGAACACATGATATCTGATCAAACAAAAAAACATGAAGTTGTCACATTTCGGTCTAGGAAATCTACCCTCCTTTACCCTCGATGTAAAGTTCATGCAGATAACAGTTGTGAGTTTCATTGCAAGGAATGCGACATTCCAATTTGCTCCTCTTGTATTGCCTCCAAAAACCACAAAGAGCATGACCTCCACTTGCTGAAGGACATCCTTGCCAAGAAGAAAGCAGAAATTCGAAAAAAGAAATTCATGAATTAGAGGAATCCATCTATCCAACCTACCAGGACATTGCCTCTGATGTACAAAACAGAATGAGTCGGTTAGAAAAGGAATATGGAGATCTCTCAATAGCCATAACAAAACATGGAGAGGACTGGCACACAGAAATTGACAAACTTGTCAAGAAACTTAAAGCTGAAGTTGATGAGATGAAAAACAAAGACAATGAAACTCTAAAGGCACATTTATCAACTGTACACACCTGCACCTCTAAGATAAATGATGATATTAATTCTCTGCACAAATTATTAGATTCTACAAACATTTCTAAAGTGTTAAAGTTCCAATTAGACGAAAAGAAATATAGAATGCTTCCGTCTAAATTACAATATATATGGCACAATTTTCACCATTCTCTGTACAGGAAGGGATCTCAGAAGTGTTTGGAAAAATAATTCCAACAACTGTATCAACCGATAACCATGGTTACAGCATAGAAATAGAACAGGAATTGCTAGGAGCTGAATTGTCTTCTTTTCAAAATATGAAAAAAGAAGCTGGATCCTCTCCTCCAGTCAACCAGTTGCTTGATAAACCAGAGACTGTCACCAACATAGACACTGGGTATAAATACCTTATCAATGTGGCCTGTGTGAGTGATGAAGAAATCTGGACAAGTGGAAATGACAGCACCATGAAACTCTACAGCATCAATCAGGGATCACTACTCAAGTCAAACAGAACCAAGTCAGGGAACAAACCACAGGACATAGCAGTGACAAAAAGTGGAGATCTAGTTTATACTGATTACAGTAATAAGACTGTGAACATTGTGAAGAATGAGAAGATAGAGGAAGTGATCAGACTACAGAACTGGAAACCTTGGTGTGTCTGTAGTACCTCCTCTGGTGACCTCCTGGTTATCGTGGACAGTGATGATAAAAAACAGTCTAAAGTTGTACGTTGCTTTAGCTCTAAAGTAAAACAAACCATTCAGTTTGATGATAAAGGCAAACCTCTCTATTCATGTCTGCCTAATTATGACAGATACATAACAGAGAACAGGAATCTGGATATCTGTGTGTCTGTCTGTGGAGCTAGAGCAGTAGTGGTGGTCAATCATGCCGGGAAACTGAGATTCAGGTACACTGGATATACTCCTGTTCCAAAGAATGAACCATTCAGTCCACTAGGAATCACCACAGACAGTCAGAGTCACATCCTTACAGCTGATTTTAACAATGAGTGTGTCCACATCATAGACCAGGATGGACAGTTCCTCCGTTATATAGACTGTGGACTGAGTGTTCCCTGTGGACTGTGTATAGATACATATGACAATCTGTTTGTTGCTCAGTATGGAAATAGACAAGTGAAGAAAATTAAATATCAAAAGTGA